AACTCACACTAAAAGAACGAAATAGCAAAACCTGCTAGTCTGCAAGCACGTACAGGAAAGCTAGGCTCTAACATTCGGTACAGAATTAACTTCTCCCATGCATGCCCATGAAATCAAGGAGAGACTTAATCAAATAAGCAGCTGATCCATCAAGGAAACACATGCGCAGTAAAATTGCTCGGTTTAAAGTATGGTAAATATATCTGGGTTTTTTTTTCACTTGGTTGCACGATAAAATCTCGGAGGGAATAACAAGGAAACAAAATTTCCCTAATTATCTGGTACATGCAACCGATAACAAAATAATCGTCTCAGATGCGAACAGAACCTCAGCTCGCAAACCAATCTGCTACCTATCAATCTTCTGCGCAACTTTCTCTACGGTGGCGACGCACACTTGCAAACTCAAACCAAGACTAATCTAGAGCTTAAACCAGCACTTGACTCGACAGTGGATCAAAACTCAATAAAGCAAAAGCTGAATGAAATTGCGTGGCTCAAAACTAATGTTTGGTGATGGAAGAAAAAAAAATATTTCGGCTGTATGGTAGACGATGGGAAAAAAAATCAGAAAAGGAAAAAAAAGAAAAAATCAGAAAAAGAAAAAAAAAGAGAAAAAAAACCAGAAAAAGAAAGTGTGGAATTTTTTTTTTGTTGGAATCTTGGAGAGAGTTGCTTACTATAGCGAGTTGTGGATTGTCCGACTGTGATCATTTGCTTGCTTAAGCTAAGATTGAGTCTAGGCTACGCCAGCAATTTTAACTAGTACTTTGGATTATTATTCAATTTCACATTTCTGTTTGATTTATGCTATTCCTTGTGATATAGTTAAGCCTACCAAGATCCACATACTAGTAACCTTTACAGGTTCGGCTTTGCAATCGCTCCACTCATCAAGCGTGTCATTGTGCCACGAACCAGCCACAGTAGTTTTTGCATTCATTGAGAATATTATAAGAATTTGGTATATGCTTGAGTGTTGAGTGCCTTCAAAACCTCCACATATATATAGATTGTTAGGAACTGACACTTTCTTGTGAGTTTCTTTTGCTTGCTAACGATGTCAGGTACAAGTTCCGATGAACCAACACTGGAGAATCTAGCGCATAAACTGAAGGGCATGGAAAATTGGTATGAAGAGTTGATGCGTAATAGTAAATCATACAAGGAAAGCACAGATAAACATTTAAAAACCTTAAGTGAAAGCCTGGTGAAAGTAGTGGATCAAATTGAGAAAATGAATCAATCACATAAACAATTAACTGAAAACATTCAGAATATGAATATTGGACATGAAAATATTGTGCGACGCATTGGTTTACTTGAGGCTGCAGGTGAAGAAGGTGCAGGTGCCACTGCCCATCGACACCAAAGATATGACAATGAAGATGAAGAGCAATCTGTTGCTGATGATGAGGAGGAAGACGAGAGTGTTAGAAATAGAAGACAACGTCGAGTTAGGGACAAAGATGATCCTTTATCTAAGGTAAAATTTTACTATGCCTTCTTTTGATGGTAAGTTTGAGCCTTCTGTCTATCTAGATTGGGAGTTAGCTGTTGAGCAAAAATTCTCCTGCTATGATTTTCCTGATAATAAGAAAGTTAAAGCTGCCAGTAGTGAATTTACCTCCTTTGCATCTCTATGGTGGAATGATATATGTGGTAGAGGACTTAGACCTAGAACATGGGATGATATGAAACGTACAATGAGATCTAGATTTGTTCCTTTTTACTATGCTCGTGACATATTAAATAAACTGCAACTTTTAAGACAAGGTCCCAATTCTGTAGAAACATACTATCAAGAGATGATGATTACTTTGTCACGCTGTGATTTGCAAGAAACTGAGGATGCTAGAATTTCTATGTTCTATGGAGGTCTTAAGAGAGAAATTCGGGATATTCTTGAATATAAAGAATACAATACCATGAATAGATTATTCCATTTTGCTTGCAAAGCTGAAAGAGAAGTGCAGGGACGCAACAAGCATAGGAGTTCTTTTGCAGGTGCTACTTCTACACGACAGTCAACACCACGTCAATCTACTACTGCCGTTCGTCCAGCTTCTTCCACACCACCTACCTCCACGCCATCCCATGCTCAAGAAACAAGCAAAAATGCTTCAGTTCAGACTCCAGCCAAGAGTGAAACTTCAGTAGTTTCCACTGGACGTACCCGTGATACTACATGTCATAGGAGCCATGGCATTGGACACATTGCACGTGACTGTCCAAATCGGCGAGCTCTATTTGTGAATGCTGATGGTGAGTATACTTCTGCTAGTGATTGTGATGATGAATATGCTTTAGCTACCACTAACCACGCAGGAGGACAAGATAATGATGACATCGAGAAAGTCCATTTGCATCCAGAGTCGCTAGATCAGTATCCTAGCCTAATTGTCAAGCTAGCACTTAGTGCTAAAGAGAAGTGTGAAGAGCAAAACCAACGTCACAATTTGTTCCAAAGCAAAGTTCTTGTGAAAGGCCATACCGTCAAAATGATTATTGATAGCGGGAGTTGCAACAATTTAGCAAGTGAAGAGATGGTCAAGAAGCTTGGCTTGACTACCCATCCACATCCACATCCGTATCATATTCAGTGGTTTAATACATGTGGTAAGATGAAGGTAACCCGTTTGGTTAAAATACCTTTTTCTATAGGCTCCTACCATGATCAAATTGAATGTGATGTTGTGCATATGCAATCTTGTTCTGTTATTTTGGGGCGACCATGGCAATATGACAGAGAAGTTGTTTTTGATGGTAGGACTAATACATATAAATTTATGTTCGATGGTAAAAGAGTTGTTTTGCATTCTATGACTCCAGCCGCTGCTTTGAAAGATGATTTTGCAAGACTTGAATGTGAAAAGAAAGCGAAAAGTGAAAATCAGATTATTGCTAAACATCCTGCTTCAACTAGTAAAATAGAACCAAGTACCACAAAGAATGAAATTAAGTTGAAGGGTGCTTTGTTGGCTTCTAAATATAATATTTGTGCACTAGATCAGCCAGATTCTTCTTGCTATGCTCTATTTTGCAAAGATCCTATACTCACATTGGCTACTGCTCCTAGTACTTTATATTCTTTGCCACCCGCTATTACTAACCTTTTGCAGGAATATGAGGATGTTTTTCACGATGAGATACCTCCAAGGATGGCCAATGGACGAGAGAGTGCACACAATCAAGAAGATGGGATTGAGTCGAGGACAACTCCAATTCAAGAAGGGGAGGATGATGAGGACATCACTTCATCGGATACGCTCATAACTTCACACGCTCCAATGATAATTCCAAGTCCAAGTCCAGTTCAGCCTCCGGAGATAGCACTGACTTCAAACGGACCTAGCACCTTCATGCCAACTCCGATTTGGGTGATCTTGGACTTCGTGGAAAGCTTATCTCGCTACCTTTCAAACGCATCTGGTCTCATGTCCAAATTCATCTCGAGTCAACGGGAATCGCCAAAATAAGACAGTATTGTTGCTGAAACCGAACTTGGGCCTTGGGCCTTGTAATAGACTAGGCCCATCTCGGAAGTGTCTCCCTCCACCTCCACGAATTAGCACTTAACCCTAGCTTTATTTTCCTCTATAAATAGCTTTGTACATCCTCAAAAACATTTGGGTTTTGTTTAGTTGAATTTTGCCAAGTGCCATTCACCTTGTCTCTAGTCCTCGCTCGATTAGTCGGCGACTATAGATTCAGAGCCCCCAATAGTTGGTGTGTTGATTTGCCGGGTCGATTAGATCTACCACTTCAATCGCAACTATTTATTTGTGCTTAATCACCTATTCGCAATATTTATATTGCATCTTATCTTGTTCTTGCAGTGTTCTCTCGTTTGCATTGCAGGGATGATCAACCGCGCGTCACGGTTGGTACGACATCGTTTGTAGTGTAGCGATTGCACGGCGTCCTAGACTTATTCTGGATGGTAGCCACATCGCAAACGTCGCACTCGATCAAAGCGAGAGTTATCCCTCTCACCAGAAGATCGGGCCACGAGAGAGAGCGTATCAAAACAGACCGTTTGTTTTCTCTCTGTTAGGGCATCCTCTTGCAAAAAGAATTTTTAGCTAAAAAAGAATTCCCAAAAAATCCAAAACCCTAGCTAGAAGCGGGATGCAGCTCCCGTGCCTAGCGGCCGTCGCGTGTACCTATCCGGCAACTATTGTCATTATCACTGATACCCTACCTGACATCTCTTTCCATTGCTGCCATTGGCGGATCTGCATGTCGGCTTGCAGTGGGAGAGGCCATGCGCCCATGCCTACCGGATCAACGCACGACGAGGGAGCGGAGTCGGTTGGATCTACACGGGATGGGGAGAGCCCACCGGATCCGCTACCGCCGGATTCCGCACCCAACGGCCTCTCACAATCTCGCCGCCAGACCCCATGGTCGCTGACAGGTCTCGAGCTCACTGCTCCCGCTACCACTTGCCGTTGGAGGAAGTGGAGCGGAGAGGTGGAGAGAACAGGAAGTGGAAGATAGGTGTAGCAGAGAGGATAAGGAGAGGGATGGGGGAAAGAATACAAAGATATTTTACGGAAGAGAGAGTGGATGCTGGTCTGGTTGGCTAGTGGTAGGCGAGGTAGTTAAGAGGCCCGTCTGCGAAAATTGATTTTACCATGCTAGTCTTTTTTTTTATCAATATAATCGCAGCGGAAGTTGGATGGGGGCTCATCTACGCAAGTCGATTCTGTTGCAGTGATTTTAAACACAAAACAAATGTACTGCTAAAATTTATTTAGTGCTAGATTTAATGAAACTAATTTGATGTTACATGTATTACTAATTTTTTTTAATAAAGTTAGTTATGTCTAAAAAAGTTTGATTAGGTAAAAATTAAAATGTATAATAATAAGAAATGGAGGGATCAGAGCACCAACTTCCTACATGAATTGATCGATTACATACTCTGGTTGCATCGTCATAATGTGAAGAGTGACAAATGCTGTTAGTACATAAAAAGCATTTAAGAAACAGCCTCAGTTGAAATTAATCTTATTTTCTTCATATATACACTGTACATCATTAACAATTTACAGGATCCATCTAGCCGATTACAATGGGCCAACTACTGCGACGCATACGAACAAAAGACACTTCTTAATAGGACCATATAAATACATAAGATAAAAAGGTACAGAAATTCGCATATACCGGGACCTATACGTACTCCCAACACGCTTGTTACACACTATAAGTCATTTAAACTTCTCTCTTACCTTACCTGTCTAGATTCACTAACATTTATATGAATTTGTATATGTCATTAAAACACATACATGAATTCATGCATTAATTTATTCAAAACCTAAACTATTTTATATTATAAAACTGAGGAAGTACATAATTAAGGCAAACGTTGCTCCGCGGTGCTCGCATGAACGATATGGACACATGGTGGCCTGTTGCACTGGTAAGCACGATGTGAAGGAGCACAACTGGTAACAATGTAAGGGTCGTTGGTACCTGCATAGCACACGAAAACCGAAAAATCTGGTTTAATTTGATTCACTGCTAGAATCAGGAACTTACTATGGTGGTAAAAATACACGCAAATTGCATGATAAGAACTTAAAATGAATTTACTAAAAAATTCCACAAGAAAATAAACCGCGAGTGCTTGCCGAAGTACGGAGAAAAAGAGAGTTTGTGTAGAGTTTTCGATTTTTCTGTAGCCACAAGTCAGATTAGTTAATTAACAGTATTGTTTTTGAAACTATAATACTACTAGTACGTATTACCTGGCATTTATATATATCTATGATCATATATATCTATGATCATATCCAATTTACTCTTGTCTTAATTTGAGGCCCAGGAGGACGATTGCAACATATATATACTCCATCCGTCCCTAAATATTTAACACCGTTGACTTTTTTAAACATATTTAACCATTCGTCTTATTTAAAAACTTTTGTGAAATATGTAAAACTATATGTATACATAAAAGTATATTTAACAATAAATCAAATGATAGGAAAATAATTAATAATTACTTAAATTTTTTGAATAAGACGAACGGTCAAACATTTTTTAAAAAGTCAACGGCGTCAAACATTTTTTGATGAAGGGAGTATATTGGGAGTAGAGCGTTTGGCGGATGCATGCCTCCAGCCGCGCACGAGATTAGCTTCGGCTCCTCCAGATCTAAGTTTTCATTCCTTCATATTGTTCTATTTTGAGTAAATTACACTTCAAGTTATATTTTATTATCATAGTTTTACTTTGAACCAATTATCCAATATTTTTATTTTTACTATTCTTAATTACATTTTTTACCACCTAATTACCGTTTTTGTCTTTGACATGTCCAACCTCTACTCTGCACAAGATGTGAGTTTAGACGTAAATTAATAGGGTAGATCTTGGCATGAGGGTGCAGATGTGTTGGAGTATGTTGATGTGCTCACGAAGAGAATTTAGAAGGTCCAAAATAAAAATAAAATTCTAAATATATTTTAGAAAAGTTCTAAAAATGAAAAGATTACTTAGCTAAAGGGTGGTCACACCTAGAAAAGTTCTTATCGCGTGTACTACACAAATTGATTTTTCACATGCAATCCTGTACATATAAATTCATATGTTGGGATATTATTAGAAGGGAACATATCTTATGCACACAAAACTTCTCGTGTACATACCATGCACATCAACTAACAAATTTCACTCAAAAATCTAGAAAAAAATATACAAATACTTTCATTATATTTTAATTGTAACAAATAACATAAAAATTCTGATAGTTTTGTGAGTATAAATTTATCAGGTATTTGTCTTTTTTTTTCTCGATCTATATATATAATGAGTTTGAAGATGAGATTATATATATATACACAGACACAGGGGGTGTTTAGATCGAGGGGTGTAATGTTTTAGCATGTCACATCGGGTATTATATAGGATGTTGCATGGGGTGTTCAGGCACTAATAGAAAAACTAATTACAGAATCCGTAAGTAACATGGATATGTGGATACATCTATCTATATATATGAAAATAAAAAATATATATAATTAAATAAGTGCAAAGTTAGTGTAAAAGAATAGAAAATCAGCATAAATTAGAGTATCGACTGTAGTGGCAGGCTAGTTTGCTGAAGAAAATCAGCACAACGGTGAACAACTGAAAAGTCAAAGCTGTTAGGAAAAAAAAACTCAAAAGGCAAGCTGTCTCCTTCAACGTGTCATTTAGGGTTCCATGCCAAAATTGGAAGTTTGACTAGAATTGAAAGTTTGAAGAAAAAAGTTGGAAGTTATGTGTGTAGGAAAGTTTCGACGTGATGGAAAGGTGGAAGTTTGAGGAAAACATTGAAAACTAAATAAGGGCTAATATGCAGTGGCATCAACATCCACACTAGCAATTGGAGTGTTGAATGCAGCAGTGCGTACTGCTCAATCTTTGATGGTACCTAATATATGCTGTGCCTATATATAGCAACTCCACCGGGAAGGTAACATGATGGAACACGGTTGCACTGGAGCCATTTGTACACATGTCGACCAGGAGATTGAGGTGCATATGAACAACGGTCTAGATGTATATATTTACCTTTCCGGTGGCGTAATTATCTTGATTATATATATTTTTATATTTATATTTTCTCTATTTGAATGTAGTGAACCTAAAGATCGCCTTTCTTAAGCGTCTTGTTAGTTCTTACCGTCGTTTGAGCCGACACGACGACTAATCTGTAGCGCGCAACGGTCCGCAAGAGTTTCTATAGATAAATTCTCTCTGACGGAAAGGAAGGCACTTACAACCAACTATCGATGGAGTAGGCGGATGCTGGCCCCGGGAAACACCGTCGTGGCGCCGCCGTCGTCGGGGATGGCAATCGAAGGTTCGGAGATGGCAGCCGAACGAACCAGGCTGCCAGTGATAAGAAGCAGGATCATCAGAAACATGGGCATTGAACTAGCACCATATGTCTGTGGTTTGGGGCCTCGGCGAGGAGAAATATATACACCTATAAATTCACTGCAGCCTATATATATACTAGATGGTACGCTGCAAGTTGTTGCGAGAGAATTATGTGATAATATAGTAGATATGAGTTCTAAAATTTTCTTTCTTACCTACTATACGATTTTTTTCACGTGTTTATATATTTTTGTACTTTTATCAATTATCCAAAAAAATAGTTATGCTTGGGTTGTATAGTATGTCTTTTTACCCTGTCACATTGAATATTTGGACACATGCATAGAGTATATTAAAAATAAAAACAATTACACAAATTACGTGTAAATTACGAGACAAATCTTTTAAGCCTAATTACTCTATGATTTGACAATGTGGTGCTACAGTAAACATTTGCTAATGACGGATTAATTAGACTTAATAATTTTATCTCGCATTTTAAGGGCGGAATTTATGTAATTTGTTTTATTATTAGTTTATGTTTAATACTTTAAATATTGTATCCGTATATCCGATGTGACACGTCAAAATTTTTACCCATATAAGTAAAAAGGGCTCGAGAGGGGCGTCGGTCAAGTCCTTATCTGCCATATTTATTTGAGGTCAGGGCGTCGGTCAAGTCCTTATCTGCCATATTTATTTGAGGTCAATGTCTTGCTAGGGACAGTAGAGTGGCAATGACCCGTGGACTGCTGACTTGATCCAGTCCACTACCCCGACCGATGACTTGATGCATGAGTGCATATATACGGACGTCTTTCTATTTTGGCAGTGCTTTGCTTTCACGTCGGAGCCATGGCAATGTTGGGATAATCTTGAGCATTCATATTTCCTCGTGTATAGCTGCATTTTTAGTTTTTCAGTTATCTCATCGTGCATGTAATAGGCTGACTGGAAATAGTCCAGAGGAACCATTATTCAGATCAGCTACTACCGTGTTTTTAGTCGGTTGTGACCGAGCTGGAAACAGATCGTGGGATGCATGGCACGGACTCTCAGATCTAGCTGTTTCATTTGTCATGTTTTACATGTAACAGACTTCTTTGATATGGAGGTGAATAAATAGAGAAAAAAAACGAAAAGCTGCACGGCATTACGCAATGCAAAAATTTATCTTGTTTTGTTCTGTTTTTGCTCTGTTCTGCTGAACTTGTTCTTCAGTTCGATGTTCCCCGTCCGAAAATCTTCAGAATCATCAGGTTAGCCACCAGATCGAGTGAGAGAGGGCGATTTGATGACATGCAACTCGTTCAGAGCCGAACACCGGCTAGGAGAACCTTATTTCAACACCAAAGAGTAAGGATAAATTGAATGGGCAAGCACCAACATATGTTGATCCAATCATAGTACTTACTCCGTTCCGAAATAACTTCAGTTTTTGGTAATTTGTTTTGTAATTAGTCTACATTTAATACTTCAAATGTGTGTCCGTATATCCGATGTGGTACGCCAAAATTTTTATAATATCTTCACATCCCTTCTTACTTTATAAATATGTGTAATTATCCGTGTACAAACACCAAGTGAATAAAAGATTTGATCCCTCTTGCTCAATCTCTCTCACTCTCGCAATTCCCTTCAACAAAAACAACGGCAAAGGCATATGATCGCATAATGATGGCTGTGTTTAGATCAACGCAAAGTTTGGATTTTGATTAAAATTGGAGATGATGTAATTGAAAAGTTGTGTGTGTATGACAGGTTGATGTGATGGAAAAGGACTAAAGTTTGGATCTAAACTTTAGATCTAAATACAGCCGATGTGTCCCACGATACCCCCACCCCACCATGCGTACATTAGACGTCGCTAAAATCAATCCACGCGTTAGGACTAATCGATGCGTGTGGACCGGTTAGATTTTGTGTTTTGTAATCATGCATACCTCACTTGAATTGGTCGTTGGCCATGCAGAAAAGACTTCCAAAAGATTAAACCCACAAGGATATTTACAAAGACAATCAATTATTGATTCATAGCTTTGCCGTGTAGATATAATGCTGCTATGGAAATGAGAGATACGACGTGGAGACGGACATACATCGACTTTATTAGAACAGTGCATTCCCTCCGTTCAAAACATAACAAAACAAATCTAACATTGGATGTAATCTAGTACTCTTCCTATTCTAGTATTGGACATGATGACGTAACCTATCTTACATAGGGATAAAAAAGGGGTTCCTAACACGCGCGCCGCGAACCGGCACCTATTTGACAGCCACATGACAATTTGGCCTAGAACCGGCACCTATTAGGACCATATAGTGCCGGTTCTAGAACTGGCACCGATGACAAGTATCATCAGTGCCGCCTCCTTTGTGCCGGTTCAGAAAACCGGCACCTATTAGGGCTTCCGAACCGGCACCTTTTACTTTTTCTGTAGTAGTGGTATATCCAATGTGACAACCAAACCTAAAAAATTTTTCCCAACTAAATAATTCCTAAGTACCTGTCCAAGGTATGTAGTCAGAAACATGGTCATTTAAGCACGAAGGTATTATAATCAACCATGAGCCACCTATTTGGATTGAAATTATTGCTAGTACGATATGCATCCTGGATAGTGAGTGGTCGTCTCTCTAGGACTCTAGGTCAAACTGAAGTACAGTATGTATGGCGGTGACTTATAACCATCTACTATTATGATTGGAAGAAAACAAGGTAACCTTAACCAATTGTGCACGTTCAAATATTGAACAATATAGGCTCTCATTCAACGTCAACCATGCATGCTAATATTTTATTAGTACCGTAGTTAAATCAACTGCCCCTTTTTGCACAAATGCTAATTCGCGCAGACGCAGCAGATGCTTATCTCGCGCGCACGTGGCAAGCCAACTGCACATGCATGTATGCACCTCGGTCCCACACATGCATGCATGCATCTATACGATCCATTTTCATCTTAGTTAATTTAGGATGTAGTGAATGTTTTCAAAATTTCTATTATAAGATATTTTTAATAAAAAAATATCTTTCATAATTCAAATTTAAAAACTCAAGTTGAAAGTTTTTAAATCGGAGTTAAATGTTTTTAAATCCGAATTGAAAGTTTTCAAATCTCGAGTTGGAACTTTTCAAATCCAAGTTGAAACTTTTTAAATCTGAGTTGAAAGTTTTCAATTTTCGAGTTGAAATTTTTTAAATATGAGTCGAAATTTTTCAAAATTTATCTTCCAAATTTAAATTTCGAGTTGAAATTGAAAGATTTCAAAATTTAACTTCAAAGTTTAAATCTTAAGTTGAAAGTTTTCAAATCTAACTTGAAAGTTTTTAATCTATTAGAAAAAAGGAAAAAAAAAATTAGGTACTAATTATGATTAGCACTATCACGTTATTATTAGTGCTAATCACATGTTAGCGACGGGCAGCGTACGCGCGAGTTCCGTTCGCGGCACGTACGCGCGCGTTAGGAACCCCTTTTTTATCCCTATGTAAGATAGGTTATGTCATCATGTCCAATACTAGAATAGGAAGAGTACTGGATTATATCCAATGTTAGATTTGTTTTTGTTATGTTTTAAACGGAGGAAATGCGCTGTTCTAATAAAGTCGATGTATGTCCATCTCCACGTCGTATCTCTCATTTCCGTAGCAGCATTATATCTACACGGTAAAGCTATGAATCAATAATTGATTGTCTTGGTAAATATCCTTGTGGGTTTAATCTTTTGAAAGTCTTCTGCCTGGCCAACGACCAATTCAACTGAGGTGCATAATGCAAAACACAAAATCTAACCGGTGCGCACGCATCGATTAGTCCAAATTAACGCGTGGATTGATTTTAGTGACGTCTAATCCACGCATGGTGGCGGTATCGTGGGACACATCATCATGCGATCAGATGCCTTTGCCGTTGTACATTTTTTGTTGTAGGGAATTGCGGGAGGGAGAGAGATTGAGCAAGAGGGATCAAATCTTGTATTCACTTGGTACGTTTGTATATGGATGATTACACGTACGTATTTATAAAGCAAGAAGAAGGGATGTGAACATATAGTAAACATGTCCTACTAGGACATGTCCCCTCACGAAGAAGTGTCTCTTGCTATGGTTAAGTTTTTGCGTTTTCGGAATTTTTTTTCGATCATCCGATTTTCACGTATGGGTGTGCCACCCGCACGCAAAAATAGTGATTTTCGCTGACCCTTTAGTGCGTGCGGGTAGCGATGCCGCACACGTAAACCCCTTATGGACTATCTGCAAAAAATCATTTTGTACTAGTGTTTTTAATACAAGCCATCAAAATGGGAAAATAACGAATTATCCAGCATACAAGATCAAATTCGAGGCTAACAATAGTCCATGCTACAGATTGGTGACTAGTATGCCTAATCTTCTATATACAAACTCGCCGGAAATGGCTGCTCTGGGCGGCGATTTACGCTGTCGTGGCCCTTGCCGTTGCTTGGCACGTCATCCAGCCGGAGCCCAGGGGTGGATTTGGAGCGCGGTCGTTGCGCGCGTTCTCCGCCGTTGGATGACCATCGTGCGTCGGTGCGTTTGGCATGCCACATTTTCCTTTTTCTCGTCCGCTGGTTCTCTGCGTTGCGTCCGCCACGTGTTGTTCCCTGTGTGGTGGCCTCATTTGGTTGGTTTGTGTGCGGTGCATTGCGCCGCGCGCAGGGTAGGGTGGGTGTCCTTGCCATTGTTTTCTCCGGTGTTATGCGTTGCGTGGTGCATTTCTTTGTTTTTTGAGGTAGCCATGGTCCACAGATTGCCTGTGGCTGCCGTGTGGGCCGCATGGCCTCTGCCTGTTCGTACCTAACGTGGAACAGGTCTATGCTGTTTGCCTTAGCTGCTGTGTCAGATTGCTTTGGTCGCTTGGTGCGCGTGTGCGCTGTGTCCATGGCACAGTTTCTCTCTGGCCGGTGGGTCTGCTTTATTCTGAACCTGTGTGTTACGGTCTAGGACCATATGCTGTTGGAGACCGCGCCTGTAGTGGGATTACTCTGTGATGGCTTCTCCGCTATTGGTGCGTTTGCGTGGGTTGTCAATATCAGGCATCGCTGTGGTCCTGGTGTATGCGCCCCGTTCCTCTGCG